CCCCTGCCTGTCACATTGTCACTCTCTCTTCCCAGTGTTGAGTTTCACTTTCTATTTTCAAGAGGGTTGGAAACTGTCACTTAGGTAGCAATTATGAAAAATGTGCTATGAATTTATTTCAACAAAGTAGCAATCCTCGAGACCCTGACATGGGTAAGAACATCTCAGTTTAGAATTAATTCAGTTGCCACTTAGTTACTTCAGGGTAGAAACTTCTGTTCACCTTTCATATCTAACTCTCATCACAGTAACAAATCTAGTGCTAGCTGAAATCTATCGAGCCCTTTCATAACTAAAATGAATGAATACATATGCAAAGAATATATTTTCCATATTTATTTCCAGAAAAAAAATGTATTTGAATACATATACATAAACATACCTAATACACTGTGCCACACCTCCAAATTCCTCTTTTGATGATAAACTTGATATCTCAGGTATAGATCATTGTATTATAGAGGCATCCAGTACACTGTATTTAGAGTTTCTATCATATGATAATACCATTATGTTAGTTAATCTTTTATTCTCCAGTAGATATCCAGTTGTAATTTGTAATTGTTTTGGTACCAGGGATTGAACATGGAGGTGCTTAGCCACAGAGCCACATCCCAAACCATTTTTTTTTTTTTTAAACAGGGACTTGCTAAGTTTCTTGCTAGCTCAGCTAAATTGTTGAGGCTGGCTTTGAACTTGGTGATCCTCAACCTCCGTAGCCACTGGGATCATCAATAAGCACCACTATGTCTGATCCCAGTTGTAATAATTTAAATAAATTCAAAACATAAGGACAGAAGACTATCCAGACAAATTGAAACAGGCTGTGCTATATAGCTATGGCAAAAAAGAAATGTCGAAAATAGATACAATTCACTTTATTTGAAAGACAAAAGAAAAAAACTCATATAAAGTCACTGTCACTGTACAATGAGCATGAAAGGCAAACTTAATCAACCCTAAGAAATAATTAACAGACTCATCACTTACATTATCCACCTGTGTTATGTGTCTCTAGTGAGGGTTTGCTTTTGAATCAATGGAGAAAGTAGAAATTCATGGTTAAAGGTGTATAATTTGGCTCTATCATCCATTTTTTTCTTTCTGTTTTTAAACTTCAATCTGCCTTTTAATTCTAATAAAATAATTAAAAGTAAAATTGAAAAGCGAAGTCAAATAATATGCAAAGTTTCACTATATACAACATGATTCATACATAGACACCATTTGGATTTGTGCATAGGCATATGCTAACCCTTGCATCTAATTTATATTTGCCTTTTCCTGTCTTTGCCTATATTGTTGTCCTATTTGGACACATGTTGCGGCTTATGATTTCATTATGTTATTTTCATTCAATTCATGTTTCAATGGACTGTCTTGATAAATTTTCTGACACGATCATGTTGAGTTGGATTTCTTTCCTATGAATCCTCACTGCTTCCTCTTCAGAAATTTAATGTGGTGCCCACTGTACTGAATTACAATTGGCAGTTTACTTGCCTGCCTCTCCAAAGTCTCTGCAGATTCCATCTGGGCAGGTATCCCTATTATATAATAAGGGCTTAATATATAAGGTGAAAAAGATAAATGAAATGCTAAGTGCTCAGTGTGAGTGCAGAGACAGGCCAATGTGTGTTGCCAGAAAAACCCAGTGTAACATATCTCCAGAGGTCCTTTGGGTTTAATGAACAAAGATAGGATGCTCTAAACAAAAAATTCTTCTCTACCTCTTTAAACATTTTTTTCTTTATATTTCATATGCATCTTAAAAGGAAGAAAATAATTGAAATGTATTAGTATATGCAATGCCCCAGGAGCGAAGATGATGCTAGTCATGTAATGCCATCTAAATTCTCAATCTAGCAGCATCTCTGATTTCCAAAGAGAAATTTAGCCCTCCAGCTTTAGAACTTGATATTTTGCCTAAAATGCATAATTTCTGGATCATTACCTGACCAATATCAGAACCGATTCATTAAATCCTCCAGTGAAGGAGTGTTTACACTTAGACATCTACAAAGGTAATTTGGCTCGTTGTGCAGTAAATATTTAGCAGCAGGGGTCTAAAATTGCCAATGTTTATAGACTTGTGCATTTGATGTCACTTCTTGCTTGCTTTCCGGTACTAATATTGTGCAGTGTAAGCTGAATTCTTAACTACTTGATTCTTTCCTGAATTTAAGATAGCTTTGGGGCTATACCAAATCTAAGAAGGAATGTTGGTGTTTGGAACTCCTCATATTAACCAGAAAATCTTTCCTAGTGTTTAGTAAGATTAATGCCCCTGTAACCTAATTCACAGCTGATGACAGCTTTAAAAGGTTCTTTTCTCCTGCTAGTGGAAGGTTTCCAGATTGCTATGGAGGAAACTCTTAACAAAATAAATGGTACTAGTCAGGAATTTTTAACCAAACTATTGCCTTTTGGGTGAAATATTTATACACTCACTTTTTTTTCCTGCCCAAATTGCAGAATTTCTCTCCTTATATTTAATTAATTTTGGGCGAAGCTCAGCAGCTATTCTAACAACATTTCTTTCTTTCAGTTGCAATTCAAAAGCAAGGAACACTTTTCTCTATCCCCGAAGAAACAGAAGAAGAGGAGAGAGTACAGTAATTTTGCAATTGCCATTTCTGAGACTCAAACATCTCTATAACTGGCTGCAGTGATTCATTCTTGTGTGGATGCTCACATAAATGACAATCATTTTTATTATGGACCTTGAGAAAGCAGAATTCATATTTATCTGACATATTTAATTCAGCATCTCACACAGTGCTTGTTCACAAGCCTCTGTGACACATTGCCACATAGATTGAAAACCACAAGGTACCTGGTGCCAGACGGTGCATACAACTACATTGGATAGGAACTGCTATGGATTACCTGCTGAAGTCCTTCAGGAGGTACTGAAATGTGGTTTTAACTAGCTTAGTTCCCTCAACTCACCAAGAGGTGTGTGAACCCTTATTTTTTCTTAGGATCTCCTTTATAATTAAGTGACTATGAGGCAGTATTTATTTAAGCTAAGCTAAAACGACTCTCTTGAAAACAGCGTAAGTCTTAATAATGCAATATGTTTCAACACCTTTAGAACTAGGATGCACCTGATACAAACAAAAAAAATTGACATTATCTGTACAGGTGAACTCTGAATCTAGTATTTTTTATTGCTTTAAATAAATCCCATGTGCACACTCAGAAACTAACATTCCACATCAATTTCAAGATACACTGTAGCTCAACAGGAGATTAGTGAGCTTCTATATGTGGGATACCTTATTGCCAGTTGTAAATTTCTCTTAAGTTTCATGTCTGGAGAAGTGTAAAACCACTACCACTAACTATTCATTTTTTTAAGAGAGAGAGAGAGAGAGAGAGAGAGAGAGAGAGAGAGAGAGAGAGGGGAGAGAGAGAGAGAGAATTATTTTAATATTTATTTTTTAGTTTTCGGTGGACACAACATCTTTATTTTATTTTTATGTGGTGCTGAGGATCAAACCCAGTGCCACGTGCATGCCAGGCGAGCGCACTACCGCTTGAGCCACATCCCCATCCCACTAACCATTCATTTTAAGAAATGTGTGTTGCTTCATGTAACTTGAAATGAGAAACTCTAACAAATAGGGAAAGAAAGAGGGGGACAGGGGGAGAGGGGGAGAGGGTACTTTGTCACCTCTAGTTATGCTTACTAAGCAAGTGGAGATATTCCTTTGTTCTAATAGCCAAAGTATATGATTTAGATAATGTTCTTCAAATTAAAGTATATAATAGGAAAACCTGATATAATATTGAATTGTTGGAAATGAAATTATACCAAAAACAGTTCCATAAAAAGCCTAGGCTAGAATTTAGAGAAAAGGGAAATATGTGAAACCTAAAATAATTTTAGTTTCCAATGGCTTTTCATTTTATACAATAAAGAGTCATAATCCTATTACATATGGTTAATTTATAAAGGGGTCCTTTATAGCCTAGTGTAAATATTTATGTGTACCCATCTATGTATGCACACATACACATAGTACTCATTATAGATTATGACTATGATGGTCTTCACTACATGCTTTGGACATAATCCCTAAAATCCTAAAGTAAAAACAAATTACCATAAGTTATGAGTAACCACACATGTGCTCATATGAACATGCATACACACACACACACACACACACACACACACACACACACTCCTTACTTTGGTTGTGCAGTATTTGTGTATGTGTTGAAGGATGAAGCTTCTGACTGCCTATGTTGGATAATCTATATAGCTACTACCTTTCACAAAAAGCATATTCAGGGATGTCATCACATCTATTATTGCTTTTTAAATTTTTTATTTGTTTTAATTAGTTATATATGACAGTATAATGCATCTATGGACTTTGATATATCATACATAGATGAGATATAATTTCTCATTTTTCTAAGTGTACATGTTGCAGAATCATATTGGTCATGTAGTCACATGTGTACATACAGTAATAATGTCTGTTTCATTCATATATTGGTTGATCCATTGTATTTCTTTTCTGTGAAGTGTCTAAATAATAGAGAGAAAGAGGAAGGAAGGGAGAGAGTCAGGGGGAGAGAAATCGAGCACAACTGTGCAAACTTTTACACAGTTACTAAATACATGAGCTCTGTGTATATTTAGATAGACACAGTGTTCTGATACATTTGGAATATACCAGCTTTATAATTTTTGAAATGATTTTTTTTTCTAATTCTTGATGTCTAGTCTGTAAAATGGGGCTAAAGATATACCAAACATCCTAGAACTGTCATTTGGATAAAAAGAAATAATGTTTGCAAAATACTTAGAGCAAAACAAAGTAATTAACACCTGAAGTAGAAAAAATATTCAATAAAAGTTTAATATAATAATTATAATGAGAGGACTAAATATAATAAGAAAGTAATTTGCCCTAAGGAAAAAAAATCACCATGAACTTGAAATTTTATCTTCAAATATGTATTTTTATTTCATTCCTTTAGTCTTAGGAAAATTTATTGAGTCCTTCCAGTTTTCCTGGACTGTGCTTGCATTGAGAATTCATGGTAGTCAATAGTGACACAGTACTTTCCCTTTGGATCCTACAAAGTAGAAAGAAGAATGACAGTATTTAAGTATGATTGTAATACATGATATTTTCCAAAAAAAGAAATAAAGAAAATGCTAAAGGAGCATTTAAGAAGGTCTTACCCAATCTGAGATGTGGTGACCAGATAAGATATAGGATACCTCATAAAATATTTGGGACGTGGTAATACTAAAAATACCTGCTATTTATTCTAAATTCAAATCTAAAAACTGGTTGATATTTCTGTACTTTGCATATTAAATCTGGTGATCTAATCTGAGATTCAGTCAAGATTTCCCCAAGATAAACTAGGCACCACACTGAGTATTAAAGATGAGCAGGCATTGACAAGATAAAGGGGCTCAGAATAATGGAGCTTTCCTAAGGCAGAAGAGACAGCATTGAAATATATCCTGAGTTGGGAAGGAACATTAGTGCCTTTTAGAAACTGAAAATGCAATATAGTTGGAGCTCAAAGAGAAAGAGAGTGAAAGGTGGTGTTCCACAGAGCTGGAGAAGTAGGCAGGTCTAGATAAGCAAGAGTCTTGATCCATTTTGAAAGACTGGCAGTCAGGGAGAGGTTTTAACACAGAAAAGTAACATGGGATTTGCATTTTAGCTGTAGGCACTTTTCCAACCTCACTTTTCCTGTACAACACTACTTGGCAGGGCTGCTCCAGTGTGCACTTTTTGGGGAATTCAGCCCCTGCGAGAAGGAAAAACACAAAATATATGGACATAAACAGCCTCTTGGAAAGGGTCAGCATTGTTGAGGTGCTGTAACGAGAAGGTAAACTGCAGAGTTCCAGAGGTAAAATGATGGCGGGTGGCAAGTACTCTGGACAACTGTGAGATGACGGTGGCTAAGCATTCATGATTTTATTTTATTTTGCCAGTAAAATTGCCCTAATACATACATTAGAACTGAAATCTCCAGTTTTAAGTTTCTTGAATTGAAGGTGAGATGTTTGGGCAGAAGAGTTTTAGAATAAATATCTTACTGTCAAAGGGAAAATATGTTTGAAAGACTGCCCTACTCTCAAGAGGAATGCATGTTTGATAGAATTTTGATTTATATCATCATATTCTAAGGAGGTGAATTTTGGTGTTAAAATGGCATGAAAATTAGGTTGGTATGTTTTGTCTTATTTTTAGCTTATAAAAGGATTTTGTTTTACTATTGCGTGTCCAGAAACAACTAAAAGAGTATTAGAAAGAGGATACATTTTTCAAAACACTATATTGAATTTAAATTTCAGGTCTACCTGTTTTTACCCCTATAACATAAGAATTAATCCCAGCTAAACTTACTCTTAGTTCCAACAAAAAGATTATTCCTGTCCCCTCTGCTCCTTTGCCTAGCTCACTTAGTTATGGGAATTGGTCAGTGAATTGTTTTTGAGATTATATGATGTAATAAGTATGCTGTGTCAGCTATATGGATACAGTGGATACTCATTTGTGTTTTAAAAATATAAATTCAGAACATGAGGGCAGAAATTTGCCCAGATAAAATTGCCAGATAATCTAAACAGGGAAAACATGATATGTAGAAAAAGAAATAATCTTGAACAAATCTACAAATAGTTCACTTCATTTGAAAGAAAAAAAAAACAAATAAACAACAACAACAAATCCTAAGATGTAAAGGTATATTCATTCTATGATGACCACACAAACTTGACTATTTTGGAAAGAAATTAATGGATACATCACTATGCTATAATCTTTATCACTAGTGAAGGTTTGCTTCTGAATCAATGGAGAAAGCAAAAGTTAATAAAGAAGTTTGTATGTCTTGTATATACAAATATATACATCTATTTGTATATGTTGTGGCAGTATTAATAAATGTTATTCATCAACCAATATGATATTTAAAATCAATTTTCACGTTAAAAATATGATGTTATTAAACATTTGTCTTCATTTTATATCCTTAATACAAAGCCAATTATAGAAACTCAGTAAATGTTGGTTAACAATGAATGAGGCAATGGATGACTGAGGCATTACTGAGTTAAAGTCTAATAAATACACAACTTTTACATAGGTAGAGCTGACATAACATGCAGTGGTTTTAATGATCCCTAAATGAATGCAGTACTCTCAAACTGGTATCTATCATAATATCTGACATATGTGTATTTGCTCATGTGAGTGCATAGCTCCTGATATTCTATGCCCTAGATAGACTCTGCTCCAATTTTAAGACGTGTTGAAGTTTCAAGTTCATTAGGCTACTTCCTTGTTATTTAATAATACTTTCTATTAAATACAGCCTAATGAGTGCTTATCCCTAGAACACATACAACACTCTTCTATTCATCTGGTGAGAAGATTATGAACTAACATTTTTGTTATGTTGGTCCTGACATCTCTGTGATGTGAAGGTTGAAGGTTACCTTAACTGAGTGCCTAGTTAGGTAATTTGGACATCCTAGGGCCAGGCCTCAGTGGTTGTCTTTGGAGAAAATACTAATATCCTATAATGAAATAATGAAATATGAAGTGAAATAAAATAAAATAAAAATAAAGCAAATGTATTAAAAACTGAGATTCCTGGTTATAGCGGTCTTGAAATGAAAGTGGAATGTTTTAAATAGAAGGATTTTAGGAATAAATATTCTACTTCTATTTTGGAGACAAGTTTCCCATTTGGGTGGGGATTGGAGATCTTTGGACTCAATCCAAATACATTAGTATTCAGTTGTCATTCAACATAATTAACTCTAGAAAGAATAAAGGTCTGAAAAAGCTAAAAAGTCCCATAAAAGTAATCAATACAATGGTACCACCTGAAATGAAAAAATAAAAGATTTTTTTTCCCTTTGGAGACCTGCCGATGGAGATGTATATGATAATGACCACCATTTAAATTAACAAGAAAAACACAAGGGATACCAAAACAGAGTATCATTATGATAACTAGGTCAAAAATGACGATTTCAAAGGCTATTATTATAGTATCGGCAAGATGATACAAATGGCTCATGGTTAATCCATCATAGCTTTGTGGTAACAACAGAAAATTCACATACTTCCAAAGATAGTGGACAAAGAACTAATGATGATGTTAATGGCCATACCTATCCTAGGGAAGAGGTGAAATGTGAAGGACAAGAGCTTCTTTGGTATGATGCTCTTCTTAGAGGTAGATTTTGATATGACTTCTATCCTCCTTGACCTAAACTTCCTAAGTGCCAAGTGGAAATTAGAAAGACATAGTCTTAGATTTCATTTTCTGTAACTTGATTACAAATGTTTTGTGAGTAAAAGAAAACCAAACTATAAGGATTTTTATCTTAAATTTTTTTGTGGGGCAGATTGCTCAGAAAACACACCAAGTCCCAGTTATGTCTGAATTGAAGAGTCTTCATTCTGACCAGCTGGGACTGCTCCCTACAGGACCAACTTGTCTCTGCAGGAAACAGCCTGAGTCTCAACATTTTAGGATATTTAAATGCAAAAAAACACATCTTGGTTGACTAGTTGCAAGCAAGCAGGTGCAGAAGCTGAATTGGGCAGTTATGGAGACAATGCAATGGGTGCATTGGTATTTCTCACAGAACTTTCCAGGTTGGCATAGCAGCAGGCAAATAGAAGGGAAGTGGGTCAAAATGACCCTAGTTGAGTACCAGTTAGAATGGTTCTAACATCTAGACAATCAATATCTGACAAGGTACATTGCCCAAGAAAAATGGAAACCAAAGAGAACAATTTTACATTGTATAAGAATTGCTATTTTGTGTTGCCAAGGACGCTATGCTAGGTAACTATTAGAGGCGGGGCTTTCCCATGGGAGAAACTTTTTTTACATAATATGGAGTCTCAGGGTAAAATAGAGTCTGTTTGGTCATTGCCCATATAGCTTGGCCCATAACAAAATGTCTTCATGTAAGCATTATGTGGGTATGTATATATAATACCTATATATAATTTCAAAGAATGTTTCTGTTATTTCTGCTTGTCACTTTACATAAGATAATAAACTTAATTTGCTTTACACATAGGAAGTACCTAATAAATGTTAGTTAATTTTCCCTGGAAGTATTTCATATTTTATATGTTCTTAATATTAACATGCCTTTATATATTATAGTCTACATATGTGAGTGTTAAATAAATGCATCCAGGTGTGAATGATAATAGCTAAGTAAGTTTATTTCTCATTAACCAAACCTACGGAAGCAAGAACAAATGTGTTAAAAACATGCAGAGCAGAGATGGCTTATTTGGATTATATGAGTCCACGAGGGTTTTCCTGTGAAGTGATGCGGACTATCACGTCTAACTGCGTTAATTATATTCAGTTTTGTACAGCAGATAAATAGAAAGCCATCAGTGATCCCAATTTAATGTGGTGAGTCCAACATCACATTCTGATAAGTATCTATTTGTGAATGTGTCCTGACAAGGTGGAGAATCTCATCTCTGGACACATGTTGCATGAAAAGGGCATAATGGAATCACTGTGTTTCAAAATACATGCAAATTGAAAACTTGGATTTTTTTTTACATGCTACTAACTGAAATAAACTTCCATGAACACAAATTTCATTGGTCCATTTTATTTAAAAACACACCCATTGCTCCTCAGTACCCATCCAAGTCTAGACTTTGTCTTTGGCTATAGAGCCATACCTGTCTAGCCTTGATCTACTCTGTTAACCTTGGCACTACCATATTTTATTTAAAAAAAATCACTGAGTCTTAAAAAACCTTTTGGTTTATGGACCCTTATGAGAACCTGATGAAACATATGGACCTGTTCCCCGGAGGGTGTCTACTTATCCAGATTTAGCTCTGTGGCCATATTTACGACCAGACTTTACAACTCCCACAGGCAGAATACATTCTCATGACTTAATATGTACATATATTATATTGCACAAGAAAATAACCAAAACTGCACATGTGACTTTGAGTTCTCAGAGGCAGGGACCTGGTCTTGTCTTTAAATCCTAAGTTCCTATCAGAATTGTTTGCTAAAGTAAAGATGACCTCTGTGTC